CCTGTCTCTGTGTTGATCATTTCCTTTTAATCTTTTAAACTCACATTTCTCTGGATTAAAACCCAACATTTTTGGTGCTGAAACTCCGGGAGTCAAGATCCAATTGTCCAGGACCGTGCGGGACCAAGGCCAAGAAACTGTCAACAGCCGTCCACCCTTTGCCGGACGGAGCCAATAGGTTGGTCCAGCCCTGCCCTGGACATCCTGGTGACGACTCAAGCTGAGGACTGATCTGCACAGAAACGGTACGCCTAAAGTTTTTTATTAAAAGCTGGTCTGGGACCCTCTGTGTGAAAGCTATAACTGGTTGTAGTTGCAAGAATATTTGACGAAACCAAGTTTTGTTTACAAGTCTGGGACCTGGATATTCTGTGCGTTTGGGTCTGGGACCCTCTGTGTTCAAGCTATAACTGGTTGTAGTTGCAAGAATATTTGACGAAACCAAGTTTGTTTACAGGTCTGGGACCTGGGTATTCTGTGCATTCGAGTCTGGGACTCTATGTTGGTTAAAAAATAAAAAATATTAGGCCTTAGGTGTGTGTGACTGTGTGAAAGTGTGTGAGGAAACAATCGAACCGCTGTGTACTGGACTAAATTCTTTAAAAATGGGACAAGGTAGTAGTAAGAAGGAAATGCCAGGTGATGTTAGATGGATGGTGGCGTGTTGTGGTGGTGACCCAAAGTTTGCCAGAAAGTAGATTGAGAAGGAAGACTGGGATGGAAAGTTGAGAGTTGAGCCGCTGACAAAGATTCAGCAAAAGGTGGAGATGAAGTTGGTGTATAAATCAAAAAGAAAACAAGCTAAATACAGAAAAGAATTAGAAGAGTTAAATAAGTGGATTATGCAAGCAAAAAATAGGGAAAGCCAAATACAACAGAAGAAGGATAGAAAGACAGCTACAATTGCTGCTGTAAAAGTTAAAGCTGATGAAGAAACTGTTGTATCCCGTATGCTTCCTCAATATCCTGACCCTAATCAAATTCAAGGGGGTGATGGGGTTCAAGCAGTGGCATCAGCTGCACAGGAAGGTGGAGATAAACCCCATCACGGTGAATATGAACACAGCCATGCCACTGTTCCTCCTCCAGTAGCCCCACCATCGTGTGGTGATATTGGAGGAGCAGGAGCAGGCCCCCTGTCCATGTCGTCCTCTGTGGATGGTATGGAACTCAGTGCCCCTGACTCTTGTGAGCATGAGTTGGGAGGATCAGGGGGGGATGTGAAGCTTGATTCGAAGTGTTACAGGGATGATTATCAAGTGGAGGCTTGTGGAAGGGGCCCATCTGCCCCTATTCATCCAAGATTGGCTGAATTAAAAAAACAAGAACAGGACCAAGATCCTGGGGGGGGGGGGGCATGTGCTTTTCCGGTGTTGGAGGTGGCCAACCCTCATTGTGGTCAACGCACGGGACCCCAAGATGGTGACCCACTGGATTGTGGACCCACTGTTCTTGTGTGTGGGCCATGGACAGATGCAGAGATGCAGACTGCCTGTCGAGGTTTACCTCCAGCCAGACAGAACCCAGTTAAATGGTTCGAGGATGTTAAAAATAGATTGAGAAAATTCATGGCAGAAACAGGAAAGCCATGGGCAGAAAAAGAACAAGATGACATTGACCCGCTAACTAAGTGGATGCTGAAGCTTTTCAGCGACAAAACTGTTCGGAAAACATGTAATCTGCCTAATGCTCCTTTTGTTTCCCCACAGGAAGGCCTGAAGCCTGGAGACCGAGTGCTGATTAAAATCATCAAAAGAAAAACTTGGAAAGCTCCGAGGTGGGAAGGACCCTACATAGTGCAACTAACAACCCCCACTGCCGTGAAAATCCAGGAGAGAGACACTTGGATCCACCAGAGTCATTGTAAACTGATTAAAAACTTTCCACAGCAAGAAGCCCAATTACCTTCACAGGAACCCCATAACTAAGAGCTGATGAAGATGGAAAAACTAATGACATTCATCTGCCTGGTGGTGACCGTTGGAGTGGTGTCTCTAGGGACTCAAACTGACCGTCTGAAACAAAGGAAGAGCAGGATGATTTTTGATGGATCCACAGAAAGTCATCCATACGGTGCAGTTCCAGCACCATGGACAGTTTGGTTCACCATGGGATCATGGTGGCAGGTACTGATGAAGATAGCTTTACCATTTATAGGATTGTTAATCATATTTTTCCTTTTTATTTGTTGCTTAATACCATGCCTGCAATCAATGTTTCAGAAAATGATAGGAACCACTCTAATCCAATATTCAGCTATCAATTATGCTCAACTCCGCCGAGATGCTGATGAAGATAATGATGAAGTTATGTAATCTTTTACAGGGATAATGGTCGCCTCCTCGGGAGGGGCTGGGTAGGAATTTTTTCTCTATTGGAGAGTTTTTGCCTACTCAAGGGACAGATTATTTTTAAAGTTTTTACATTCTTTTTTACCTTTGTGCTTGAATTTTCCTTTTAATATTGTTGTGTTTTGCATATTAAACTTTGATTACTGAATTCCCTATCTGCAATGCACTCATGATGTATGTAGTGAAAATCTTTTTAGAAGTGCTATATGCTGATGTTTTTATGTATAAGAGGAGGGAAATGTTAGAGTGATAACTATCCTGTGTTTCAACCAGAAGGGTCATAAACTTTTATGACCTCCTGTAGGTCATGAGGCAGAATCACACGGATGTGTGACTTCCATCCAGCCAGTTGGTCAATTCACACTATCTTGTTACCTGCATCCTCCCAGACAATGATTACTGGCTCTTCTGTTTTAGGCCCGCCTGTTTGATGTTGTAAACTGTTAATAAAAGGCTTTGCTATGAAGGGATCGGTGGGAGAAGGTGATGGCTTTCCAAGCCAGGATATTCTCCCCACCCGGCATACGCTGACGTCACAAAATCCTGTCTCTGTGTTGATCATTTCCTTTTAATCTTTTAAACTCACATTTCTCTGGATTAAAAACCCAACACCAGATCATCCAGTAAAATTGATTCAAAGTTTTCTATCTAAGGAAAACCAGCTGATTGCATCGACTCATTGACTCAAATACAATCCCTCACACTAAGCATGCTTGTAGCGACAGTGGAGAGGAAAAACTCCCTTTTAACAGGAAGAAACCTCCAGCAGAACCAGGCTCAGTGTGAGCGGCCATCTGCTGAGGCCGACTGGGGTTCAAGGAGACAGAAGCAGACATAGAAAAAGAAGCATAGATACAAAAGGCAACTGTCAATGAGCTCCACAGGCGGCCCCGTCCAGGAAACACACAGCCAGGCAGACGAGCTCCGAGCCAGCTCCCATGTCAGAGGATGAAGAGAGCACATCCAGTTAGTCACAGTCAGAGAAACAGGACTACACTGGAAAACAGGCTGATCTCCAACATCTATAAACAAAGGTGTTGATGGCAGCAGCACAGCTGATATTTCTCTCCAGGATGGAGTCACAGCCAAACAGGAACAGACCAGATGAAGCTACTATGAGAAAAAGCAGAGAGAGCAGAACGTTAGAGATTGAACTAACAGATTCTGCAGAGTGGGAGAATAGAGATAGAATGAAGCAGAATGATGAAAAAGGGGTCCCTATGTCCTCCAGCAGTCTAAGCCTATAGCAGCAGAACTATAGAGATAGCTCAGGATAACCTGAGCCACTCTAACTAGAAGCTTTATCAAAAAGGAAAGTTTTAAGCCTAGCCTTAAAAGTAGACAGGATGTCTGCCTCACGGACTAAAACTGGTAGTTGGTTCCACAGGAGAGGAGCCTGAGAACTAAAAGTTCTGCCTCCCATTCTACTTTTAGAAGTTCTAGGAACTACTAGTAAACCTGCAGATTGAGAGCGAAGTGCTCTGTTAGGAACATAAGGAACAATCAGATCTCTGATATCAGATGGAGCTTGGCCATTTAAGGCTTTATATGTGAGAAGGAGGATTTTAAATTCTATTCTGGATTTAACAGGAAGCCAACGAAGAGAAGCCAGGATAGGAGAGATATGATCTCTCTTTTTCATTTTCATCAGAACTCTGGCTGCAGCATTTTGGATCAGCCTACAGCTGAATATTTTAACCTTCATACATTTTAACTAACAACAAAAAAATTTATATTTAGTGTCTTAATGAAGTATAAATGTTTTCATATGGTAACCAGACAGTTAATTTGAACAGTTTCTATTTCCATTATTTAATTCTCCAATTTCACATGAACAAAGTTTTAAAGTTGAGGACAAGATTAGAAATGAATTATTCCTCTTAGATTACTGTGTATTTCCTTACAAAAAAGTCAAGATTAGGTATTTAAAATATATTTTGCTGAATTAAAGCAGTTTGTTTTTTTAGTTATACATTCATAATGGAATAATGATTTAAAAAAATAATACAGCGTGACTAGTTCTCTACACCAGTGCCCCAAACATGAAATTACATCTTTAGTATAATAGATTTTGTTTGTTATTTCACGGATGTCCAGCAGGTGGCGCCTCAGGTCTTTAAACCAATCAGGATTAATGTTGGAATTTTTCTAAGCTTGTTGTGGGGTTTAACCTTGTTTTGGGGTTTTGTTTGTTTTATTAAAGGCATAACTTTATAGTGAAATGTTTACCCACAGCAAATTAACAGAAAAAACAAACAAACAAACCGCACAATTAATCATTAATAATTATTTACAGGCCGCAGAAGCTGCAGTAAGACTAACGGAGAGATAAATCAGTGACGTGATAATAATTTGGACATAAAGGTGATCCTCCTCCTCCTCCTCCTCCTCTCCTGTTGGAGCTGTTGCTGTGGCAGCCATGGAGGGGAACAGCAGGACAGGTGAATTTGGATTACAGTAACCATAGTGAGAAGGAGGACAGGAAGTCAAGTTAAATCAAACATCACAGGAAACACAGAGAAGAGTTGCCTTCAAAATAAAAGCACCGCTGTATCACTGCCATCAAACCTTAAAGCATCAGACTGATTTGTATCTTATTTTGAAAATCCGTCCCTGAAAGAACTTCGCCGCTTTGACTCTTTGATAGAAACTTGGTCCCTGAAGCTTCTAATGAGCCTCAAACAGCAGAAAAACTTCCAAGCAGCTTTTCAAACTTTAAAGAAGTCGGAAGCAAACGGCGGAGCAAAGCTTCGGCATGAAAAAGCCGCTCCTAGGAAGTAACGGCTAGTTGGAGACTTTTGGCCGTGTCCAGTTTGGGTCGGGCTGCCGGGAGGTGAACCGAACTCTAACGATGCATGTGCTGCAGGCCAACGGATCCATTATGGACCTGAACTCCGACTGGGTGAAGGTTAAAGCCCACTACCGAGGGTGAGTCAGTCTCTGTGGGGTAAAAGGCGAGGGTGGTTCCCCACCGAACCCCCCTCCTCTTCGCTCCAACTGGGTCAGTCCGACACTCACCTGCTGCTCCAGGTGGAGGAGAGATCCAGGAAGATGGTTTCTACCTGTGAGAGGAAAACTGGTCACCTGTGGCTAGAAATTAGAAATTAGACCAAATTTATAATCATTTTTATCCACAGAGTGAATAAAATGATATTTTGTTTGTACATCTTTGAGAGAGTTAATGAGCAGCTTAGCAGTGAACTGAACATTTCCATGTATAAAGTGCAGCAGTGATCAAATGTAAACAGTGTGGGAGAGAAATGGCTGGAAGGTTTAGATAAGTGAAAAAAGGCATTGATATGGTGCTAAAATGCAGTAAAAAAAACATTAGAGTTGAGTTCTATGATGTCATCAGTGCCATGCAGAATCTGGATTTGTGATTTATACCGATTCAAAAGGGGCGGATCTGCTCATCAGGTTCAATTTTTATGTTTTCTAAGCCAAAAATAAGGCTTTGCTTTGGTCCATTCAATAAAGCCTGGAACTCAATGCTGTTTCTGACATTTTGAATTGAAAAAGCTTCCTGGATGGGAAGAGAAACGTCTTCAAACACGGAAAGAAAGTCCAGTGGATTGTTGTTTTTTTTAACTCTTTTTGATTGACCTGGAATACTGAGAATCTTCATCAGCATACAACTTGATTTAGAGTTTTCTCAACAGTTCATCAGTCTAATGGCGGTGGGGTAGAAGCTGTTGCAGACCTGCTGGTCCTGCGTTGAATGCTGTGAAGCCTCTTCCCAGAGGGCAGCAGGGAGAACAGTCCATGGTGGGGGGGTGAGGGGTCATTGATGATGTCACGGGCTCGGGACACGCAGCGCTGGGATGAAATGTCTTTGATGGAGGGAAGAGGAGCCCCCATGATCCTCTCTGCTGTTCTCACCTTCTTCCAGTCTGAGGCGCTGCAGCCTCCACACCACACAGTGAGGCAGGTGGGGAGGATGGGGGGGGCAGGTGGGCTCTCCTCATCCTCCGCAGGAAGTCCAAGTGCTTCTGGGCCCTTTGGACCAGTGAGGTGGTGTTTCCAGTCCAGGTGAGGGTGTCTGTGATGAATGTGGTGCTGCTGACCACCTCTACAGCTGAGCTGTTGATGAGCAGTGGAGCGTGGTTAGGACGGTTCTTCCTGAAGTCCACCATGATCTCCTTGGTCTTCTCCACCTTCAGGATCAGGCTGTTATCTCTGCTCCACCAGCTGCTCCACCTCCTCTCTGTAGTCCAGGTCGTTGTCGTCTCTGATGAGGCCCACCACCGTGGTGTCGTCTGCAAACTTCCCCATGTGATTGGTGGTGAACCTGGGGACGCAGTCGTGTGTCATCAGGGTGAACGGCAGGGGGCTCAGGACGCAGCCCTGAGGGGAGGGGCTTAGACTGATGACATCAGAGGTGTTCTGTCTGACCCGGACTGACTGAGGTCTGTTGGTGAGGAAGTCTAGCAGCCAATAGCAGAGGGGTGTATTGAAGCCCAGCTGTTCCAGTTTGCCCATCAGATGCTGTGGGAAACTAGTTCCACCTGGAGGAAATGTAATGATTGATTGATTCAGGATCTAAATCAGAAGATGATCGTCCCTCAGGACTGTTCTTGGTCTGCTCTGGGAAAGTTTCAGTGGTTGATGAATAGGAGTTTGAGAGATTTCATACAGTAAAACCCAAAATGAAGCAAATGGGGCAGCTAAGATCCTTTTCAATAAAAACAAGTTTTATTTATACTTTATTAACAATTGACACATAAAAGTAATTTTAATCTTTGGAATAACTGATCTGAGACTCATCTGTTGTCTGAATGCATTTCAACATGCATTCAGACCCGGCGTCTTTCTACTTGGACTGGACATGTTCTCCCTGAGCATGTGTGGGTTCTCTCCGGGTACTCCAACTTCCTTCCACAGTCCAAAAACATGACTGTTAGGTTAATTGGCTTCTCTAAGTTCTCCTTAAGTGTGAGTGTGTGGGTAAATGGTTGTTTGTCCTGTTTGTCTCTGTGTCCTGTCCAACCTGTCCAGGGTGAACCCCGCCTCTCGCCTGTAGACAGCTGGAGATAGACAGCGGAGCGTGATGAAAATGGATGGATGGGTTAAAGATTATGACGGCTGCTCTGTGTAAAAAGCAGGAACTCTCAGAGAAAATAGAAACATGTTAATTTCTCTCGATGGTGCCGTGCAACATCCAACAATTAATGTTTTAATAAGCAGGATTTTAAGGACTAGTTCTCCTCTGCAGACCATCATGATAATTAATGTCTGAGACATCCTCCTCCATCCTCCTGGATAACTGCTTTATTTAAAGGTTTGATCCTGACCTTCAGCTCTGAAGTATTTCCTGGTCTTCATGGACCTTATTCTGTGGTTTTCAGCAGGTGTTCTGGTCACATCAGTGGATTTTTGGAATACAGGAACTTAAAAACCTGATTATCTTGTCAGTAGATGGATAAAAGCGTAATCTTCTGATGTAAAAATTGACTTAAATATTAAACTCGGTTTAAGATGAGGAAAGAGGAGTTTCGCTGCGGGGCGCTGACGTCTTCATCTTCTCTTCCTTAAAGCTTGGTGCTCAGCAGTGAATAGTGAGCTGTTGAAATGAACACAGAGCAGGTTATCAGCTGATGGATGAGAGCTTAAAGGTCTCCCTCCTCCCTGACACGCTGACCAGCTTTAGACGCCGTCACAGGAAGCTCTGTTCTCCAGAGTTCTGCAGAGGTTCTGCTGCTTTAACTGATCGGTCTCAGAGGAGTTCTGCTGAAGCTGTGAGGTATTGTTACTCACACTGTGAAGAAAACACACGGGTCCCTGTGGATTAAACCCACCAGTGTTTGACTCCAGGTAACCATCTGCTCTGGATCCCTTATTGGCTCCTTCATGGAGACTAAATCATCCAGAACACTGGTGTTATGGATGTCAGAGCAACCGCTTCAGGCTGCTGGATGCTCTGATTGATTATATTCACTATAAGGGGAATGGTGGCCTAGTGGTTAGTGCATTGCGCTTTGATTCCTAAGGTTCTGAGGTTGAGACCCACTCCCACAGACTGCCACTCTGGGTCCCTCAGCAAGACCCTTAACTCCACACTGTTCCCCAGGTGCCGCAGAGTTCATTTCCTCGCTCTGTACTTCTGACAGTCTAATGACAATGAACAGCTGGAGAAAAATATTCAAGAGCTGCAACTAACAATTATTTTGCTTGTTGATTAATTTGTGGATTATTTTTTCAATGAATAGTTAGGTAGCAAAAAGTTATTTTTTGTACACATTTAAACCAGGTGAAACTAAAATGGTTCTACTTGAGGAGTTCAGGATAGAGCAGATTGACAAACGAGAGCTTTTTTCATCTAAAATGCAATATATACATATTAGGGGTGGAACGGTTCACAAAATCCACGATTCGGTTCGGTTCACGGTTTTGTGGTCACGGTTTTCGGTTCAATATATGTTGATTGTTAGGAAAATCTACTATGTCTTGTAAAGTACAACGCGTATGTATAAACCCTGTGAATGTTTAATTTAATATGACATATTTAAAAAAAAATCCCCATCATCATCCAGCAGATGTTCAGTTTCTGCCTAAATATTTTCTTTCTGTTGTGGATTGTTGTAACAGGAATAACTAGAATCAAACATAGTTTGTATGAACTATGTTTGTTCTCTGCTTCCAAACTCATCATCTCTTCATCCATTCCTGCAATAAGAATTTTCTTTTAAAGTTATGAGACGTGCTCTAGAATCTCACAACTTCTTCCTGGTCTGTTGAAGCACCAATAGTCTGCATCCAATTATTTAATTAATTGCTCTTAGTTTTTGTATATACAAACTATGCTCTAATTTCTAGTTACCGATCTGTTTTTACTATAATTTAATTTGAAAAACCGGGTCTTCTCTACATTCTTTTTCCTGTTTGGTGCGATTGCAATTGTGGGTCTTGATCTGGACTGACCGGAGCGGAGCAAAAAAGAGCTCAGTTCCATATTTTGACGGTGAAAGACGGAGAAGACGTACGTGGACAGAGAAGTAGCGGAGGAAGTGGAACAGCTCTCATTGATTTACATGACAGACAAGTACTCCGCACGACGTACGTGAGCAGAGCGGAGCGCTGACGGAGCATGTGGAATCTGGGGGTAAAGGAGGACAAACACACGTCCGGCTAAATGCGGCGCAGGACGCCGGACAGTGCAAGGAAAATCCGGACTTTCCGCCCTAATGCCGGACATCTGGCCACCCTACTTCCAACTCCTGTTCTTTCCCACTCGCCATACCCACACAATTCTCCACAACAACTGATTTTTTTTCCCTGCTACACCCGGCTACGCTGCTTCGCTTCTTCTTCTTCTTGTTTACTACTGGTGGTTGGCTTTGGTCGCAGTACCGCCACCTTCTGCTCTGGAGTGTAAACGCTTCGGCTATGAGAAAAAGGAGCAGCGCATGAACCGAACGAAACACACGCGAACCGAACCGAGACAGTCGAACCGAACGGTTCGGACGGTTTTCATAAACCGTTCCATCCCTAAAAAAAAAAAATATATATATATATATATATATATATATATATATATATATATATATATATATTACCGTTCTATTCTTGCACGTACTCCCCACGCTTCCAGAAGCAGCTTCCACAAGTTGGATTGGTTGGATGGGCACTTCTTGCGTACCATACGGTCAAGCTGCTCCCCCAACAGCTCAATGGGGTTCAGATCTGGTGACTGCGCTGGCCACTCCATTACCGATAGAATACCAGCTGCCTGCTTCTGCTCTAAATAGTTCTTGCAAAATTTGGAGGTGTGTTTAGGGTCATTGTCCTGTTGTAGGATCAAATTGGCTCCAATCAAGCGCTCTCCACTGGGTATGGCATGGCGTTGCAAAATGGAGTGATAGCCTTCCTTATTCAGAATCCCTTTTTCCCTGTACAAATCTCCCACCTTACCAGCACCAAAGCAACCCCAG